GAGAGGCAGATGCTAGAAGAATCCCAAAAGGCCTGTGGACGAAGCCTCGCTGAAATCAAACAAGATCTGCTCTGGTTTCGTGATCAATGGCAAAAAGATGGTAATTGCACGAATCGTTGCTTTCGTATCATCGTTGGAACCTTGTTTGCTGCGGACACCCAGCGTCCGACATGTAGTAGCCGGTCGCCCCGGTGGTCTAGTTGGTATCCTCGAAACCTTCTAGAGGTCAGGTCAGGGGTTCGAATCCCGGCGTAAGCGAGCTTTTCTTGCAAAGTGAGTTTTTCTCTCGCTTCCGCTCCTGGCCTAGTGGATAGCGCTAGTTCGTGTGTACACAGAGGGAAGAGAGTGCTGAACTCTTCTCGCATTAAAAAACGAAGGCAAAGTACCGCAGGAGGGGAGGGTAGAGAGGGGCTCTTCTGTGTGACCACGGGTTGGAGTAAACGGCACTACGTAGTGCTGTGAGCGCTGATTTGAAGTGAAGACAAAAAAAAAAAAATGTAGTATCGTAGGGCTCCTCCAACCCCTTCCCACCCCGGTTCGCGTTCCCCTCGACTACGGTGATACACCGCGTGCCGGGCTGCTTTTGTTTGATGCAGTCCTCCTTTCGATCGCAGACTCCCATCAATAAACAAGGAAAAAATGGCCCGTTTCCGCTGCAATTTTTCTCGAAAAAAGAAGTAAGAAACCACACAAACCTTCGGTACGAAAGGACAGGATCTCGTAGTGCCATCCATCGCCTCTACCGTAGCTCGTCACCCTGCAGGACACGCAGACGCGGGCGTTAGGATCGGCCGTACAGCCTCTGGACTAGAGGCCCGGAGGACTAGAAGCATGAACCGCACAGAAATGAGAGTACAAGAATATGGTGCCAGCATGGTCGTGACTGAGGTGGCATGTTCCCACGAACATAGGTATCGCTCCACCACCCCCAGCCTTTCAGTGGTTTAATGTGCAAGCCTGGCAACCCATGATTCCACAAATGCCTCAACAACTCTTCGTTCAAGCCAAGCAACCTCCTCCCCGCTCCCTATGCATGCGATGAAGTCAAATTTGTCTTTTTATATTCCGAAACTAACTCCGACAACCTTACGTCCTTCGGAACCATTGCGGGGGGCGGGGACCAGGTTTCTGGAGAGATACGGTGGAGGCGGCCGCAAGACTTCTTGGAACTTCTCCCTCGGCCATCCTGCGGAGATTGCTGCCTATTCGAGGCCTTCAGCGAGTGCGCCGACTGTGGAGAATTCTTCTGCTCCGCTTGTTACCGCAAGGTGGGTCAAGCAACCATCAGTTCATCAATGTATCCCCCCCCCCCGCCCTATCGACTTCACGGGGGGGGTGTATGCTGTTGCCTGATCCGGGTCGGCGCTGCGTAGATTGACGCAGACATGTTCAACGTTGAATGTGAATCAGAATCAGAATCAGCATTATGACAAGATTTGTTGAATCCATGTACATCTGGTGTTACGATACGATCTTAGAGCCCCGAATGACATCTCCAGGCGTATCAAGAGCCCAATTTCACGGCGTGCGGGTGGGCGTCGACCTCCACATCCGCAACTCCGCTCACCCTTGTGTTACCGACACAAAGGAGTCGTGTCATTTGGAGGGCGCGAAATTAAAAAAAACCTACCAAGCGTAAGGATTGAAAGTTTGACAGCATCGTGTATGAGCTGTGATTGGCGTCAACGGCAGGTGTACCGCTGCGCCTAAACCAAACCGCGAGGCCTCAGTCACGAGTCACCTTTACTTCTGAACAATACCCAAGCCCCTGAAAAGACCTCGCAACATATATCGGCTGCTTCCCTCGTCCTCTACCTTATATATTCGTTGTCTCTTTGATGCCTTGGGTGTCGCGTGGCCGAGAGTATCTACCAGCCAGTAGGAATTAGAGCGATACGAAATACTTGATTGTTTCTCTGCTGCTTTTCGGCGAACCTGTCGACGACGTGCAAAAGGTGCATGGGGGAGGAAAACGACTCCATCACGAGTTCCGCGCTCTTTACGACTACTACGGAAAGAGGGTCGACTATGGAGAGGGGGAGTTCCCGTCTTGTTGGCCAACCGACGTGCTACAGGCAAGGAGGCTTGTGTGTGGATCTTGTGTTGTACTTTCCTCGCATTTTTCGAACACAACGCCGAAGATGTAAGTATATGAAGTAGGGGGCGAGGGAGTTCCGATCTTCTTTGCCGTCCGATATGGATCGAGCAGGGACTAACCTTCTGAGCGGGTTGTGGTAATGCTCAGGTTGGCCGTACTCCCTTCTTTCGCACCAGTGGTGTCTACGTTAAACAACCAGTTGACCCCAATCTATTCTTTTCGAGGTTCCGTCGGTGGAAATGGCGTTTGTCGACACTGACTGTAGTCGTAGCTTACGCAAGCTTCGTCGCGACAGGTTACCAGAAGGACGTTACCCTGGTGAGCATCGCATGTTGCATTGTCGTCTTTAAACCTGCCACGTGCCACGGGAAATCAGAAGACGATGATCGCGCATTCTTACGGACGTCGTCCGTGCTGTTGCTCAAACTTGGCTAATCTTTGCGTGTGTATCGTTGGTCGTTCTAGGACGGAACAGGGCTAGCCGATCGCTTGGATCTTCCGCTGACCGCAGTCGGGCACCTTCCTTTTGTTTTTTCCGTCAGGACGACGAGAATGGATGGCAGCTCCGGGTGGCGCCCGAGAGGGAGCCAGCGGAGGAGAGGGGAGACTGGACAAGGTACACGGCGGAGGCTGGTGGCGACAGCGCTGACGGGAGTGCCTATCCCGGAGAAGACCTGTACTACAATGCTGTCACAGGTGAGAAAACGCTCGGAACGTCGTCGAGTGTTCGCCTTTTTCCCGTTTGAAAGATCCTGCGTGTGCGTCGTTCATACAGCTGCAGCACGTTGTTCTATCGGAAAACGGTGCTCTTGAAAGAGAATGACCCAGTCAGTGCGCATACATTTACTGACTGTGTTTTGTGCGATAAACACCATGAGCGGCGAGGTCGTGGTTGAGGCTCAGAACAAACAAACCCGTGTCCTGGGGAAACACCTTGCACTATCTATCTAAAGACACTGCGAGGCGTGTTTGTGGCATTTACAACAGCATGATAACTGGGTACTAAAGATAGCCATACACTCCCTGGATGGACTTCTAGAATGACGAAGGAGCTGAGACAAGTCACGCCTTTCTGGCAGTCGTTTTCCGAAGCCCGCACATTGTGAAACCGTGCAGTCTCGTTTAGCCACAAGAGTACCCGGAACCTGCTTGTTTGCTTCACTGTTGGTCTGGCCTTTTCGGAGTGTCGAAGTACACTCCGGCGGCGTGTGACCGCCTACGTTTATATATTACGTGGTATCTGCTGCTTCTTGCGCCACCAGATAAACCAGCAAGCTGGTACACAAACCCGGTGTTTGTCGCCTGCGTACTGTAAGAGGCGGAGATTTGGCACCCCCCTAGACGTATTTTGAAAGCTCGATTACTCCATCAACAAGACTGTTCCAAAAACGAAAAATTGTGTTTTTGGAAACATATCATGAAGGCTTGTTGTCGACGTATCGGGCTCTTTCTGAACCCCCTTGGTTGTGGAGCAATCGATCTTTGAAAGTCGGTCTAGGGGGGGTGCGATCTCTCCGCCTCTTATGGTACTTTTCCTACTACTGGCGGTACTCCTGCCTTCGCGTCGAAATACTCAAGTCATTTCTGTCTCTTTTTGTTTCGCCCGTGATTTCCCCCAGGCGAATCGTCCTACCAGGCCCCTGCCGAATGGGACTGGTTGGAGACACAGGCTCTGGAGACCTCGTTCTTCGACGTCGAGCCGTCAGAAGAGGCTGCTAATGACAGCAGCGCCAGTTGGAGCAATGACATGAGCCAGGCGAGATTTGTGGTGACTGTGTACCGGATAGAAGTACAGGTTACCACAGAACGCCCAGCAATGCTCTTGGTACCTCTCGCAGGACGCAAATGCCCGGCGACGCGCGAGGGTGAGTTGATGGCGTTGCTTCGCGTTCCTGATCTCTTGATCAGCCAGCATGCGAGCCTGTTCGTTCCCACGAGACACAACGTGACGAATAGACAAATATTTAGCGAAGCCAACGTTCGAGAAGGTGGGGGGTCGACGTTGAACGCCCGTTGCCGGTGGGGGCGAGCGTACCTATAGTCTTTTGGTCGCGACGAAAGCTGCCCAAAGTCTCCTCTTCTCAACTCTGGCAAGAAATTGGCAGGGTATGGAAGATCATTTCTCCAGCTGCTCCATACCAAGCCAAGTACCTTCAACGGCATATCTTGCTGTACCTCGACAATTTTCGTGCCTTCGTGCGTTTTTTTCCAACTTCAAACTGCAACATGAAACGAAACCGAGGCAAACTCCAAGCATTCAATCTCGATTTGAAGCACAGCAACTTGCGTACTGTTTGGCGTACGATGATAGTTTTCCCAAGGACCATTTTGGACCTCCTCCTTTTTCCCCCCCCCCCCCCCTCCCACGCGTGGCCAATGGTCAAATGACTAAGGCAAGCAACAATGAGTACGCCCCCCCCCTCCCTCTCTTCTCCTCTCTTTGATGCTTCCGCAAAACGTGCGGCGCTCTGGTGACTCCGCTGCGCACCACTCTTGACCAGGTGACCGGAGACTCCTCGTATTTCTATAGCGGCGAACCCATGCTAGCCCTTCAGGGAGACGGCGCTTATACGGATGGAGAAGAGCAAACTTATGGTGGCGTCATGGTGGAGGGAAGCGGGGCGGGGTCCACTACTTCTTGGGGCGATTGGACCAAGTACTACGACGCGGAGTACGCTGTGGACTACTACCACAACTTCAGGCGAGTACCGCGTCTTGTTGAAGACAAAGAAAAACATCCGAACTCTCCTCCATAATATCGTCTGTGATGTAGCCCTCACGACGCACGTGCTGCTTTTGTATTGATTTTCAAACACCTCCGAAAGAAAAGGTACAGGTCGGGGAAATATTGAACCAATCAAGTCAATCGCCGAGCTGTGGTGGCGCTAAGAATCGTCCACATTTTGCTGCGCCCTCCATTTCTCATGAATCTGTGTCTGGCGTGGCCCAGGACATCGGAGACCCAATACGACAGACCTGAAGGCTTCCAGACTCCCCGAGGCTAGCGGGAGGGGCGTGAGATGCTGGGACAGGGAGAAAGCTGACTACCATAGGGAACATACGTGCGCAAAGGCACGCGTGTCTGGGGTACTCGGGGAAACCTGATGCAACGTCTGGCACGTGGAAACCCGTCCGTGCAGTGTTTCGCCTAAGTTGGAGAAAATCCAACCTGAAGACCATGGTAACAACTCTGAGCTGTGTTCAAATAATTGGTCGGCCGCGTTAGTACGTTGGATAGACTTTCGGTTGGCGGCCGTGATGATGATGGGTGGGTCGCGGGAATCCAATTCTAACGCTTGAGGTATGTTTCGGCTGTCGCTGGTACCAGCTATTTGGCTCGCGAAGATGTGGTCAAAAGCGCCTATGCATGTTTCATATCCTGAACAAGGATGGCCGGGACGCAAAGCCGGGCGAGGTCTATCCACCGAAGCGCACAAACCTATAATTTTTCTCGTAGGCGGAAAACAGAGTAGTTCCCAACCGACGTTGTGTTGCTTGTTACGTGTACGAAGAACAGTGATGCTATTCGCCTCTTTTCCTTCGATGGATGAGTAGACTGGGCCGATATTGAGAGTAGGGCATGTTGTTTGCACTCACTGGAAAGTCTCACGACCAGAACCACAAGCTGCCACCTGGTTATCCCCGTTGTGGTCTGGGCATCCATGAAACAAGGGCACTATGGTCGAAGTGATGACTGCGGGCCCACGAATGGCGCTTGACCCAGCACCCAAGCAATGTCAACCGAGACCACCTCAAACTAGTGTCGGTCAAAACAATTGTGAAGGTCCCTGAGGCAGTACTCGCTACTTTCAGTTGTTTATCCTTCAAGAGAATGTAGGAACAGGTCCGACAGAATATTCTTACACCAGAAGATTAGAAATGTGAACGTGCTGATCCAACTCGTTGAGCTCATATCTTGTAATGGTTTCGCTCGGGAATGGCGATAACAAGTCAGAGGCGCATAGGTTTCATTCGTGCCGCAAGTGCGCGGTGTTCTATTGTGACTGTGGGGTACCGCCTACCCATACGGTTACATGGTGCTTGTTTTTGGGGGAAGGAGCTCTGGCCCTGCCAAAAGATACCTGTCCACCTGTTTTGCTCCAGTTTGGAGTGTGTCGGCGGTAGTCTTCGTCACATCGACTGACGCCTGCACCACTTGTTGTCGTTGTTGTTGCTGCTGCTGCTGCTGCTGCTGCTGTTGCTCTTGTCCTCGCAATTGAAGCTCTCTTATCTATTATGTCCTCTCACACCCTCTCAAAAGGAAAAAATGCGACTTTGCGAGCGAACCACAACCTTGGGCGTAAATCAACAAGAAGACCCGAAGAAGGCTCATTGCTCTCGAGGATACGACAGTCGTCCCTGAGGCCTCAAGTTCGGCACGAAAAAATGAAGAATAAAGTACGGAAATCCCCGAAGAGGACATGAAACCAATCACTAAACATCGGAAGCTGAAGTATAGGGAAAGTGTAAGACAGAAGCACACCTACAACTAGAGCTAGCCCTGAAGAAACATAAACCCGCACCCCTGAGAAGCCAAAGCGTCTATTGTCGGGTATCCCGCCCACCAGGCCAAGCCCGGGCCTTGTCCTCTGTCCACATGAAATACTAGTATAGCCAAAATTATCCAAGGACAATAGTGCAAGGCACTCTTTTACATGAATTACGATAGCAATTATTGTGGGGGAAACAGACATTATCTAACCCCATATCTATACTGACCATCTATTCTAAGGGGAGGGCGGGGAGAGAGGCCATGTAGAAAGGAGCCTCACTCGAGTACCCTTCCTGCCTCTGAAGAAGTAGGTCACAGCTGCCAACGAGCAGCTTGCAGTAAGGAGTAGATAACGTTTTGGTTGTGAAACCGCGCATAACCACGGCCGGCCGATAACGCTAAAGGCTTGCTTATCAATGGTGTCCCCTCCCTACAGACGGTAGGCAACATCCGACAGTGCATACTAAGCACTTCATCCCTATTAACACAGCATTTACATTCCGAGAGGATTCCAACGCTGTAACAAAGCGCTGTTCTGCCTTGGCTCCCTTCAAGAGTTGGATGGCTTTAGGCCGATAGAATGTCAGCCAGGCGTCTCTTGCACATGAGCTGTTGGTGATGTAGGGGTAGAGGATGCTCTCACTCGAATCATGCCCTCTTCATTTTTCTTCGCGTCTGCTGCTCCAACGATCGCAGCGTAGCTTTTAACCACTCCTTTCACCTTCCCAAAGCAATTCCGTGGAAAGAACGATACGACGGTAGTATCCGGTTTCGGGGGTATCGTGGTTGATGTTTCAAAGTGTGGGAAGCAGAGCACCACAGGTCTTGGTTCAGGCTTCTGCCAGTACCAATCGTATTCAAGCCGATCATTTGGTATTTCGGATGACGTAGTCTATTCGGTCTCTTCATCCACAGGGCGCGAGGTCAGAAGCTGCCTCCCATCTTCGATCGTATAATCATGTTTCTGGCAACCTTTGAACTGTTAGCAAAACATGAAGAACAACCTTAGTCGTTGTTTAACATTCTTAGCAGGGTGCACAACACTTTCCAGGTGTAGACTATTCACCTTGGGGAGCAACAAAGGCTTCGTTGGTTGTCCTTCCTGCCCCCGGGCAACCCCTTCTCCCACCACCGCCGCCGCCCCCCCTTGCGCCATCGCCACTGCCATGCCCCCCTCTGGGGTTGGTGCCGTGCTACCCCCTCCGCCTGTCAGCACCCCCAACATCACCCCGGGTCGTGTCCCCGGCGAAGAGTGTCTTGTCAATGGGGCCGGTTGCGGAGTCGGCGACGTGGCAGCTGATCCCGGTCTGTGGTTTCTTTTGGTCGCTTGAGACTGACTGTGATGCTGGTGCTGGCTGTTTCTGGTTTCCGGGTTTCGTCCTGCTGATTGGCTCGATCTCGCCCCTGGCGGAGTCCCCGATTGGCTCGGTCTGGATCCTGTCGTGTGCCCTGACTGGCTTGGCCGTAACCCTGCTGAACTTGAACCAACAGGGCCAGATTGGCTCGGCCGTAGTCCTCCTCCTCCCCCCGCTTCTGGTGCTGCTGCGTATAATGCACGCCCGTTACTCTTGATGCCGGATTGGCTGGCCCTCACGCTTGAGGAGTTGTGCTTCTTCGGGGGCAGGCCGGGGGCCTCCTCGCCAGACACCAGGCGGCGGATGGATTCGCGGGCGACGTCATTGGCCCCAACGTCAGCGGCGTTCTCCCCGCTGTTGTTCTTCAGCTGTTGTCAGGATTGTGTGGTACAGCAGCAATTGAGCCATTACCCCGAAGTGGAGGAAAGGAAGAAGCGAAACACGAACGCACGTTTTGGTCCTTCAGTCAGTTGGATTTCTTTACTACGATAACATTACGCTCACTCAGTCCAGAGCAGGACTTCGCAATGTTTCAACCCCGACCTAAAACAATTCAATATTTCTTCAGCATGGGTGTTAACCACTGTTACGGTAGTGAAGTGCACCTGCAACGCAGCCAGCATCTGTTGCGCCGTTCTGCCGTGCTTCCGGGCCAAGTGCAGAACCTGCCTCAAAAACGCCGCGGAAACTTCCCGCGCAGCCCAATGAAGAACGGTGTCGCCATTTACGTCCTGCTCCAGCGAAAAACAGGCTCAGTGCATACGAAGTTCGAAATCTTGCGAAGGTATTCCTGTCTTCTTCCGCTCAAATTATAAAAAGTGGGGGTCCTACTGTAAGGCTTTGGCCAAGATTCGCGCAACGCAGTAATGTGGACGTTGTCGCCGTGCCGCTCGTACCCGATGATTGCTTGTGTTCCGCGGCACAGGGCGCACAGTCCGTAGAAACGACCGACAACCTATTCTGAGATTGACATAAGCAACATACTCGATGCATCTTCCGTCGACCCTACCCCAACCAGCTTGGTCTCTCACAACTTACGGCTGCCGACAAATCAAAGGAACGAAAAAGAAAGAAAACCAAAGGAATTGCAATGCCATCAATCAAGTGAAGGAACGTCTCGACAGATGAATCCCACCTGCACATTAAGCCGAGCGCCTGCCGCAATTACACACTCGATGAGGTCTAGCCGACCGATCTTGACGGCCTCCATCAATGGCGTACTCCTGGTGTACACGCTGTCCACCTGTCGCAGGCGGGTTGTATCTAGTTGGCGTGTAGGTGGACCGAAGCAAGGCGTGCAAACCGACGTAGCGACCTGGCTTTCGTTTGACAGGTACGATGCCGCTCTGTTTTTAAGGCAAGAAGTACTGGAGATGTGTAAACGCATGATACCACCAGAACCCAGATGAAACCTGAAAGTCCTTGATCTGTCCCTATCGGTTGGGATGGCCTGTCGGTAGCCAAAACCGGCGTCCAACAATCCTGCCAACTCCTACACACCACACATTCGTATCGGTCAACCTTGCACAGATTTACAGCCAAGATCACAGAAGGCATCACAGACGTTTTATGTCACCCAACAAATTCTAGACGTCGATTAAGTCTGTCTCTGTTACTACACCATCTATCTGCAGCTCTTACTTTTGCACACGCGCGGTTTGTGTTGATTCACACAACATCAATGGTCTTTTCGACGGAGGTACATGCGTACATGCGCTCTGCCGTAACGCTGCATGAAAGTGCGTTGTTGACATTACAAGCTGTAAAATTAGGCTGTAGTTCCTAACGACTGGTTGTACTCTTTCGGACTTGCCTGGTTTGCGTCGAAAGCTTCATGTTTCAGCAAGACTTGCAGCGTCGGCCGTTGTCCGCTCGCGACAGCGCAGTGGAGAAGATTTCGTCCGTAGTCCTCCTTCTTCTTGCTTCGCAGCTCGCACATGTGCTGAGCTCCAGAGAAGGCGATCATGTCTTCCAGCACATCCGCGTTTCCATCCGCTACAATCTCGAATACGTCGCTTGATACCGTTGGCGGAGGCCCCACTGCGCGCGCCGAGGGCATGGACGACCTTGCAGATGCCCCTCTAGCGGTCTTGCCGCCTAAACTCGTTCGCCCGCCAACCTGAGACGATGAAGTCGGTCTTCTAGCAGTTGGTCGGGGTGATTGTTCCGTCGGTCGGGGTGATTGTTGCGTAGACGTCGACTGCCGCATGGTGACGACCTTGCTCCCTTTGTGACACCGCTGTTGGGTAGGAAGCCTGGAAAGTACAGGCGGTTAACCAACACATGAGCGGTGTTGGATTGCATCAATCTCTTTCGAGCTGATCCCCAAACGATGCTGAGGTTATCAAACCTGTTACAGGTGGCGTCACATTGTCACTCCTTTGTTTCCACCACTGGGGCTGCCGGCTTGACCACGTCTCAATTCACTATTTATGGTACGAGTTGCCAGCTTGACCACGTCTCAATACACTACAAATTTATATTACGAGTTCTCTGGTGGATAAATGGTAACTCCGCAAACCTATTAGCAGCAGGTTGTGGGCCCGAGCCCTCGGAAATGGACAATCTGCAGTTCTGTGGTGCAAGTCGATGAAGTTGTGAGTGTACTCATCGAGAGGGGACGGCCATAGACTACCCTTCTCGCGAAGTCCCGGTGTTACCTTCCTCCGGTGTGACCCCGGCTACTACGCCAACACAACCGAGAGGGGTACAGTAGGCTGGCACAAGAATAGATGGGGCGAAAACACATACCGTACTTCACCCTACCCGTTCGAGCATTACTGATTTCGTACAGAAGTAAGTTTTCAAGTCATGCACCCTGGCAGTGTACCTTTGGGCTTTCCCACAACCCTTCAAAAATTATCTGTGCATTGGAACATGTGTCATGATGCTCAACGCACACATATATGATACATAGCACACAACAACACCACAGGGTGACCTGGTGACCTGCGTATATCTATGTAGTCTACATTAGTTGCAGAGCTCTGTACCTCGTGCTGTATGCTGTACATAGTCTCAGGCCGTACCACGTGGTACGATGCCCACCTGTGTATGCAGCAATACCATTATTCATTGTAGTCGATATGACCACCTGGTGTATGGTGCAAACAGGAACAGAAACTTCCACGTGAAGTAACATACCTTCTGCTATTGCAAGCGGCAAACGAGTCCTTGATGGTGAAGTACTCTACATACATAGTCTGGTCTCAGGTTTACGGCGAACGACTCTCACCTGCTGTCCACTCGTGAAAACCCCGACTAGATAATAGAATATTGAACACCAATCTGAACATACAACCAGCTCCGACCCTCATGTACGCTGTATCAAGCTTCTTAACCACTTGCTGACTATACCTTACGGCTACAGTAGGAACAAGCGGGGTAATCGCGAGGGTGACTTCGAAGATGTTCGTCGTCGTCGTCTTGTCACGTTGTCGTCGTATGTACACGAGACGAAGGACGAAAGGCAAAAAAAATCTTTTCGCCGTTTCAGGTCTCTTGCCGGTAAAAAAACAGAAAAGAAAGCCGTTGAGGAACGCCTCTTCGAATGATGTTCCACATTGGTTGCCTCGGTGCGTCCGAGCTTGTTGGGTGTTGTTCACTTCTCGGACCTGCCGTTGCATCGCGTGACGACTCGCCCGATAACCCCAAAGCGTAAGCCTCCCTCACCATTCCCCTTCGCTTTAACACCCCAATCGACCTGTAACCATGCGTGAGTGCATCTCCATCCACATCGGCCAGGCCGGCATCCAGACCGGTGAGCAAACGCGGAGACGAGTTTGATTCCAATTCCACCGTGCAATTTGACTTGACTTGGGATAAGGCGTGTTGTGGTTCGACCAACGCCGAGAAGATCCAGTGTGCGTGCGTCTACCAATGATCCTGAAGGATCGATCCCTGAGGATTATTTGTTTCTGGTGCCCGCCCGCAGTATCCCTCTCTGGTTCTCTCGTCTGCACGCTCTTGTCTGTAGCTCATCTCTCTTCGTCGAAGAGCCAACCGACATCACCATCTACTCTTCTCTAAAATATCGTCATTTCAAACTTGGGTCCTTTTCCCGCCGCGCGCAGGTAACGCTTGCTGGGAGCTCTACTGCCTGGAGCACGGCATCCAGCCCGATGGGCAGATGCCCTCGGACAAGACCATCGGCGGCGGTGATGACGCCTTCAACACCTTCTTCTCGGAGACTGGTGAGTGCAGCAGGCAGCAGGATACAACGGATGTCGTGACTCCTTCGAGTGTGAGCACCAACCACCAAGAAGCACCGCCAAAAGTGCAACGGTTTTTTGTATTTCGACCATCTCGGTCGTCCCGACACTGCTGAACGACGAAAAGATGTGTGATTCATGATCAGGCCTACGAATATTGATGTAGCCGTGCCTTCCCCACTGATCTCGGACTGCTTCGTGTATTGTGAAGCAGCTCTGTTCCATTGCCGCTATCCAAACCGCAGCGGCTGCTGTAGACGTGTGTCACGTGTTTTGGTCCTGTCGGCGTGTCGATCAAACACTGCACAACGTGATTTGCCCAGCAAGCTCGGCAAACGCAAAGTAGTAGTCTATGCATGGCGGGATCGATGGCCTTGGCAAGTAAGGTTGTCCATGCCAACCAAGGTGCTTCACATATATTCCTAGGAGAGCAGAGATGTTTGGTGTCAATGCGGGTATCCAGCAGTTAGCGCGGGCATGAGAAACCACCACCATGTCACCCGACTCCCGATCCCGCGTGAACCCATATTCAACTTGTTTATTGATTTGGGCAACGGTGTACAATGTTGTCGGGAACTGCCGCGCGCAGCCACGCCGTGGATCTGAAACGACATTTTTGCTTCATCGAACAGCTGAACATGTGCATGTATGGCGGTAAAGTCAAGTTGGGAGAGACAAATCTTTTGTTCGCATTTTCTCTGGTAAACAAGACTGCCGTGATACTGCATTATATGCATGTAGGGACGTGGAGGCGAGCCTGTGTGCCAAACACTCCTCCGAATGCCGACAAAATCCACGAGGAGCGATACCAATCCATAATCTGTGCAAAAGTTTACTATAATGGATGATTCTGCTGTGTGAGTCAAGCACAGCATGCAGATGTTTTTTTTCATGTGTAGGTTTTTATCATAGTGCTATTCGCGATGACGAGTCATGTATCTTGTGTCTGTCGGAGTTGAAAAAGCAATGACGATACGTATCATGCTGCCTTCCTGCTGAGCGAAAGCCCCGATGAAACACAATGTATCATGGTCGACCGCCAACCATATGCCTCTGCCATGCGCACGCACGCACCTCTTGACCTTCACGTTCGCGAGCAATTGCCCGCAAAGAATAGGTTCTACAATTGTACCTGGAATGAATTCGACAAACAAAAAATGAGAGCAATGCACTGCTGAAAATATTAATGTTAAGTGTACCCGCCTCACCATCATCTATCTTACCCGTCACCTTGAATCCTCCCAATCCTTGAACGAATGCGACGTCCAAACGAACAGGTGCGGGCAAGCACGTGCCCCGCGCGGTGTACGTGGACCTGGAGCCCACCGTGTGCGACGAAGTCCGCACCGGAACCTACCGCCAGCTGTACCACCCGGAGCAGATCATCTCGGGCAAGGAGGACGCGGCCAACAACTACGCCCGCGGCCACTACACGATCGGCAAGGAGATCGTGGACCTGGTGCTCGACCGCATCCGCAAGCTGGCGGACAACTGCACCGGCCTCCAGGGCTTCTTGGTGTTCCACGCCACCGGCGGCGGGACCGGGTCCGGGCTCGGCTCGCTCCTGCTGGAGCGTCTGTCGGTGGACTACGGCCGCAAGTCGAAGCTTTCCTTCGCCATCACCCCGGCGCCGCAGGTAGCGACGGCGGTGGTGGAGCCGTACAACTCGGTGCTGTCCACGCACGCCCTCCTGGAGCACACGGACTGCACCTTCTGCCTCGACAACGAGGCACTGTACGACGTGTGCCGCCGCAACCTCGACATCGAGCGGCCGACGTACACGAACCTGAACCGTCTCGTGGCCCAGGTTATCTCGTCCCTGACGGCCTCGCTCCGGTTCGACGGCGCCCTTAACGTGGACGTGACCGAGTTCCAGACCAACCTGGTGCCCTACCCCCGCATCCACTTCATGCTCACGTCGTACGCGCCCATCATCTCGGCGGAGAAGGCCTACCACGAGCAGCTGTCGGTGGCGGAGATCACCAACTCGGTGTTCGAGCCGGCCGGCATGATGACCAAGTGCGACCCCCGCCACGGCAAGTACATGGCGTGCTGCCTCATGTACCGCGGAGACGTGGTGCCTAAGGACGTGAACGCCGCGGTGGCCACCATCAAGACCAAGCGCACCATCCAGTTCGTGGACTGGTGCCCCACCGGCTTCAAGTGCGGCATCAACTACCAGCCCCCGACCGTCGTGCCCGGCGGCGACCTCGCCCGCGTGCAGCGTGCCGTGTGCATGGTGGCCAACACCACCGCCATCGCCGAGGTGCGTCTCTTTTGTCTTCTCGTGTGTGCGTTCTTTTTTCTCTTTTGTGTGTGGTCATGTTTCTGAGGGTACGTACAAGTACGTTCGTTCCCCGAGCGATTGCGCTCGACTTTTCCCTGCTTCTACCAGGATTAGAGACGTGGTTCTCACCCGCCTTCGTCTGACGACTTTTCCCCTTTGACCGCTGTGCTACTACTCCACAATATGTACACTACCACCATACCATGCAACGGAACCGCAGGCTCTGTCGCGCATCGACCACAAGTTCGACCTCATGTACGCCAAGCGTGCCTTCGTGCACTGGTACGTGGGTGAGGGCATGGAGGAGGGAGAGTTCTCCGAGGCTCGTGAGGACCTGGCTGCCCTCGAGAAGGACTACGAAGAGGTCGGCGCCGAGACCGCCGAGGGCGAGGGCGAGGAGGAGGACTTCGGCGAGGAGTACTAGATTTGAGGAGTTTCGTCGGAGATCGTCACCGCACTATTTCCCATATCCGGAGATGAAGTATCATCGATGTACGACCGTGCCGCTATGTTGAAGGATCTTGGTTTTTTGCGGATGCTGGTTGTCGCCGTTTTGCGCTGTGTGGGTCATTCTGAGTCGTTTCAACTTTGTTTTTGGCTATGAATTGTGCCTAGCAGCTTTGCGTAGCTTCGGTGACTTTGTTGCAGCGGGTACTAGTGGGTGTTGCTGGTGTCGTTTTTTTGTTTCTCTGGACTGGCTGCTTGTCGGAGAGGCAGAAAATAGCAAACGGCATCGGGGAGGCAAATACGGTATTCGTCATACCGTGATGTAAATTTGTCAATACCAAGAATGAAATGAGCTATAACTAACTCACGAGATTTTAACTAGCAAATTCAGGCATGTGCCAACCCTCTATATAGGGCCTGTAATTTGCAACAGGCTCTCGAGTTTTTTCAAGCGAGCAGACTTTCTTTGCAGGAACCATGAGGACTGCAAAAGTTGGCACATACCCTCACACGCGTAGATGTTGCATTTCTGTCCCCGAGTTGTTCAAGCACTCCTTTTGAGCACCTGCACGTTGTGTCAACATCACAGCGCGCATGGCTCAACCCCATCGCTCATGGTTCCCCTCCGATGTGACGCCGAATGATGGGGTTCAACTCTGGGATTAGATCACAGCACACCATCTTGAAAACCACAAATCGAAGAAGACTTCTCGCGCGGGACAATGTTCCTCTCGGTCGTGGCTTCGTCCTTCCAGCGGCGAGGTTGACATTCCCACTATCCCTTCTCACTAGGACCCAACGATTGCACGTTTGTTTGCGTCCACCCGTGGAGAGGTGTCCTCGGCGAAATAGTTGGTCCGACGTACAGACAAGACCGTGACCCCACTGCCCGTTGAACACGAAAAAACCGCTGCACCAGCGGCTGCACGTCTGTGGCGTGAACTCAACCAACCGTAAAAACGCTGCTGATGCCTGAATACCAAGATAAAAACATAAGGAAAGTGTACCCCAAGGTTTCGCACGACAGTGAGCGGCGGTCGAAGCACCTTAAAAATTCGACGTTCTCGACGGACGTGACCTGTAGCATGCCGCAGGTTTCTGAGTTGACGATAAGCCGGGGAATCATTCTCGGCCCGCCTGATACTCCTATCCAGGAAGAGACGCCAAAGTTGGCGTGACGTCTGTTCGAGCGAGCGGTGAGGGGTGGAGCGGGCGAAGGTTGCCGATTACTCTCTTTTCGTCTTGATTCAAGTTCTATTTCCAGTGTTGTGCTGCCTCCGCCCCCGTACACTCGCCATCAAATTCGATTTGTATGCATGCACTCTCAATCTCAAGCAAAGGCCCATTTCTCGTCCCCCCCCTCCCTGTTTATTTACATACATATATCTCACGGCTCGGCTCAAAAGGAAGTTGACCCGTCGACAAGCACAAGAATGGCGTGTTGTGTACGACACGTCAGAGAAACAACGCTTTGCTAACCAACCAAACGAAGCAGAAGAAACAAAACGTGGAGGCCTGAAAACTACCGACGAAGAAGGAGCAAATGGGTTTCGTCCGCCGATCCGGGCCCACCCTCGATTGCATAGGAAACATTGAAGATGTGGAGCACAACGACCAACTGAAGACGTAAATAAACCAGACAGACGAGATTGACCACAAATTAATCTCCATGATGTATTAGCCTAGATGTAGAGAATGCGAAGGTGTACCAAGAACCCAATGATCGGGTGTCGGAGTACGTAGTAGACCTGAACACTATTAGAGCTCGCCTAGAGATCGAGAACTTGGGAGTGGCGATGCACAGTCCTTGCCTGTATCGAGCGCCTCGATTGTCTCCAGGCTTTCAGGCCCAAGAGAGAAGCCAAACCTCTTGTTAGGGGAGTAGAACGATGGCCGGGAGGCGAGGGGGTGGAGCAGCGCAAACACCTCCCTGACCCTGGTGCCTGAGGGATATAGCGCATGCATGGACGAGCAAACAAAAACCCCGCACGGCCCAATCGGAACCAGAACGAGGGAACACTAATGAACGCGTGAATATTCATTTTCCGACTCATCTATCATTTTTAAGTGCAATCCTTCGAAGTACCGAGCAACTTGTCCCAAACGATGTTGTACCACAAGCAAACGTGGGTATCTTGATCATCCATGAACGACCAAAAGAAACCCACAAGACATGAAAGAGGGCGTGAGCATGAATGTGGTCGCGGCGTGCTGTTCTTAGACTGTTAACCTTAGACCGTACGTCCTCGCTTGAGCTGCACAATACAACGCCTATTATCTGGCGTTGATCAGTGCAACAAACAATTAGACTACAATGGGTTCTTCAGTCTGCCCGACAATTTGACCACCTCAGGGGGAGACGCAGAAACCCCTCTTCTGCCCTCAGGTACTGACCCCCCCCCTCCCAAAGCTCGGTGCGCATAGTTCTTGAATTCGGCGCAAGGTGACGTTCTGGAGAGGGATTGGGAAAGCTCGCTCACATAGCTCAGAGTTATTTCCGGCGTAGGAGCCCCGACGTGCGGCAGTCGCCGAAACCGGCTTCGGGGCATCGGTCGGTGTTGTGGCGGCGCTCAAGCCCAGGCTCCCGGCGGTGTGAAGAGTGACGAGGCCGCGGTGCAAAGACCAAGATGTCATGACTTGCGCCGGAGTCTTGAGTGTTTCGTTGATTGTCAGAAAAACATGCAACAATCGGTCAGTACGTGTGTCACGCGGAAAATGACTTGGATTTGTCTGATTGATGGCCTCAACAGTGCTAGCTATGTTGGGAACTTGTCCCTCGCTTTCTTCGGGGACCTGCAGACGGTATGGCGGCTGTGTGGAATTGTTCTCGACCTTTGGTGCGACGATTTCCAGAGAACAACGCCTTGTACAACAATTTCCGCGGTGTTGAAGCGAGTTCAAGCTGGCAGTTCACAAGGAGCTCACCATTTCGGTGTCCGACGCTATTGTGGACAGAGCGACCTTGCGTGCATCACCGCCTGCTGTCTTGCTACCGGCGTCTTGATCGCTGCCTCCGCTTTCTTCTTCAACACCTGCTGCTGCTCCTGCTGCTGCTGCTTCATCGTCATCATCGTCTGGTGATGTATTTGGTTTCCATCCCACCGTAATCAAACATGCGACATGAGGTTCCGAACGGGGTGCGAGCGCGGACCGATTTTCTTGAGTTGCTCGGCACAGCAGCAGTTTGGAAACAATCACCTCCATCCGTAACACTTGAGTCCAGGTATCCACGGTGTTGCATGCTATAGAGCGCACCATTTTTGCAACGACGACGAGGTCGGTGTTCCTCTTCAAACGATTTGCTAACATTCGCCAGCTTGTTGGTCGATTGCACGGACGACCTGGGAACCTTTCGCAATATTTCCCAATCGACGGATGATTCGAGCAACAATTACCCTGTCTGTGAGTACCTGATGTTCCCGCTCCAGCTTCGGCTTCGGCCGTGTCAAGGCTAGCGACAACCTCAACCTGGCGGGCGTGGCTATAGCTTGCCATTGTTTCTTGGTGACTCGTCAGGCTGCTCGCGCGGATTGCGATGTGGCGTGGCATGACAACGTTACGGTGTGCGGAGGAGATGGAGAGGAGAAGGGTGGGGAGCGGGGAGGGGTTCGAGGGGGTTACATTGGAAGAGCCTGTTTCGGGAAGAGCGAACTGTAGTCACAGAAGGGAAGCGGAAGACTTCACGAAAGGAGTGGGCCAGCTCTTCTTTGTTACCGTTATGGTACTCTCCTGTATCATAGGGTGATGTATGACATGACCCCACGGGATCAGAATGTGCCACAGTCCTAGTGAAGCTAGAGTACGATCTATCTTGTTCTTTGCGTGTAACTCACGGAGTAGTGTTGGTATGTTGTTTGCTGTTGATGTTGTTGTTGACGATGATGAGATCTAGGAAAGGCTTACTTGTCTCAACTTTGATTTCCACTTGCCCTTCGAAAGCTCCCCGCTGCATGCGCTTCAAACAAGTTGCGAGTTTTGTCTTGTTCTCCAAAGTGCTTGCCGCCCGCTCCAAGCTACTCTTACCTGACGTGCAGAAAATTAACGGCTGGTCGCGGTCCCGGTTGCGCGATGACAAAATCCAGCTGCCACGGAAAGAAACGATCCACACCTGAATTTAGCAGCATGGGGTGAAGCACCGGCAACAACGTAAGAGCGTTGTTGATATCTCGTTGTTAGTTGTTGCTATCTTCACGTTAAGAAAACATTCCGACGTCTGCCCAGCACCTTACAACATACCTTCGGACCCAACCGACGTGGAAGCCTTCCGTGGCCACATGATAACTATCCAAAAGGAGAAACAACGTAACAAATAAAATTAGAAAGAACCAGCAACATCAACACAAAACGTGATAGACAAAACAACCAGAAGATCGTCCCGGCACAGCACAATATACGAAATGAAAAAATAAAAAAGAAACGAGAACCCGTGCTCGGACCCACCTAATGCACGGACGGTCCCGGCGTCCACAAGCCTCTGCAACGCCTTCCAGGTCTTGAGGAAAAGGTCTCCGTCGCGCTGCCGCTCTCCTCGGTCCGACAACGCTCGGTGACCCTGTGTTCCCGACGGCCAGGGCACGACCAAGAGGTCAAGAGAATCGAGGCCCATCGCTGATGAGTTTTCGGACGAAGGGGAAGGAGCACGGGGGGAGGGGCCGGCCGGGAGTGTAGGTGGTAGTCGGTGCGCTCGAGAATTTCCACATATGTGAGCTTTGTCAACAATTGAATCCATCGCTGGCTATCCAAGAATTGGACGACAGATGGTTGAGACTAGGTGTCAGGGGGGAGGGGGAGTGAGGCGGGAGAGGAGGGAATGACCTACAGGAGGGGTCGTGAGAGGTGGGAAAGGAGTAATTTCAACAAGATCAGAGCAGGGGGGCCGATGGCTGTCGGGCTGTGAATAAAGGACGGGAGCGAAAGAGGCGAGGGGACGGCGGCAAGGGTGGAGGCAGGGGTGGTGCCTTACGGCGACAGACTCCAGAACCCATTCAAGGGCGAGGAAGATCCGCATTCTTTGTGTTGATGTCCTTTGCGTTTGGTGTGTCAGAAAACGTTTCGTCATTGGGATCGTGCTGAATTTGGATCCGTTTGATGTGCAGCAACGTTATAGGTCAACGATGATCTCGAAATGGCGAGTCTCTCTATTTGAAACCCTTGGAAAAATACGGACAACAATGCTCTCCAGCAGTTCCTCGTCAATTGTGCGTGCTTGTTTTACTGGAATAGCGCGCGACGCATCAAGTCGAAGAAAAATAACTGGTGAGATATGATCGCTTCTAATGTCGACGCTACGACGACAGAACGACGATTGGAGGGGGGGGGGGGGGGGGGGG